CTTCATAAAAAGCTTGAAGCTTTTTAAGCCCTCCTATTCCATATAAGCATACTAGTTCTACGTTTCCAGATATATATATATATATATATATATATCATGATGGTCTTGGATTTCCACCTTGTGCCCCGGATTTTTCTAAAAGCAATGTTTGTCCCGATTTAGATCTTTTGTTCCGGATTTAGATCTTTGTTTTCCGGATTGTCCCGGATTTTTGAGAAATATTGAATTGAATCTTTGGTCTAATATAATATAAAAGATTCAATTTAATATTTCTCAAAACCCGGGACAATCCGGACAAAAGATCTAAATCCAGGAAATATTGCTTTTTGAAAAACCCGGGGCACAAGGTGGAAATCCAGGACCATCATGGCAAAACCGGGACGTATGGTCACCTTATATTAAGGCCCCATAAACTAAACAACAGTGCTTACAACCACGAAAAAAACTTTTCTTATTAAATTTCACACATCAACAAACAACAGCCGTTTACCTCTTGATAGCCAAGTCGTAAGGGATTGCTGGTTATACATTCTTTGCCCTCTACTTCCAAATACTGTTGTTAAAAAATACCTAATATTACTTGTTTTTGAGATATTGACGGTGGACCTTATTACTCGCGGACTTTCAATGATTAAAATAAATCTTAACAGGTGATTATCTAACAGGTTACCACTAAATATAGTTTTGATAAAAATATTCATTTAAAATCCCTAGAACCGCATATTATGAAAGGCACATAATATGCAATGCCCACATAAAACTTCACATACTTCATATTTATATTTCATATTATATAATTATATATTTTTACAGGTATTGACTGGCAACAGTGATACAGCTTCAGTGGTGGAGCATCGCTTATTGCCTCCAATATTTGCAAGTAAAGTCCGCCTGTTTCCGCACAGTTTGCATAGAAGAACTGTGTGTCTGCGTGCCGAATTACTTGGCTGCATGGATGACGGTAAAGTTGTGAGTACAATTTGTTGACATATTTATGTACGTTAATGTTATACGAAATCAAACGAAAAAAAATTCTCTGCCTTCGAGTCATCTTGAACTTGAATGAAATCAAACCTATCACTTTATTATAAAGGTTTGAATTGCGCCCCCTCTCCATATGTAAAATATAAAGGTTATACAAAGAACTGTTGAACCTAAATCAAAAACACGAATTAATCTTACAAAACATATGAATAACGTACTTAGAAATTATTTTCAGGTATAATAAACTAAAAATTATGCTCAAAAACAAATTCTTCCTTGAATGGAATCGAATCCAAAGTAATGCTTAGAGCAGTATTACCCATTATTTAAAAATACTCTAAAATAATTTACATAATTCCCTAGAGAAACCTTGAATTTATTCACGCCTACAAAATGCACAGGAGTATATTTTTACCCCCATCAATCATGTTTTTATATAGAACACTATTGAGACCTAAACGTAAATGCCCGCCAGTTTCGAATTGCATGTTAGTGCAACCAAAACGGAAATTAAAGATACATCGACTGCGATAATCGAACCACGAACATCGGTTTTATACTCAATTGCTAATCACATTTACATGTACGATGTATTTTTGTATCGTAAAACCTCTTTATAATGGACTGTGTGAATTGCCCAGTTCGAATTTATTTTAACAACTTTCTTTAAAAATTTCCTTAATAATTATATTCTAAGTTTATAGAAGTTTTTAACCCTATATTTATTACCAATTATAATTCAAGTTTTTTAGAAGTTTTCAAGTTTAAATTCATTATCAATTTTGTTATGTTCATAGAGTAATATTTATATTTAAATATTTTATATTTATTACCAATTATAGTTCAAGTTTATAAAAGTTTTCAAGATTGAATTTTCATTAAGTATTGAACATAAAGAATATCGTTTTGTAATTTAACCCTTTCGACTCGGATGCCGCCCAAAACAACAAAACCATTTTTTTAAAATTATGGAACATTTTAAAAATGTTAAATTCGAAAATTCATGATACACTTTAATTTCTGTGAATATCAGCTTAGTAGTAGCTGCCACTACTTAGATCCAAATTAATATTTGGATTATTAACAATATTTCGATTGATAATATTAACCAATAGCAAGTTATCTAGCAATTAATATTTAAAGAACGAGCCGAAAATCGAAAATGATTTTTTTTGCATTTTTCGACGTTTCCAAGGTTTCTGAACACTGAAAAAAAAGTGTGTGTGTGTGTGTTTTGTACGTCAGCATTTTTTCGTCCACGTTTTCGGGCGCTCGGATCAACCGATTTGAATGATTCAAAAAACATTCGATTCCTATTGGTAGGGAGATGTGCTGATTAGTTTTAACTTCCCGAAGAAGAAGTTTATATTTTCATCAAAAAATCCGATTCTCTAATTTTATGTTTTCTCGACGTTTCAAGCCATTCTGAATCGAATGAGACTAAATTTGGAAAAAGTATGTGTGTGTGTGTGTGTATGTGAACAGATTTTTTGCGAGGCGTTTTCTCGAAAACGGCTGGGCCGATTTCAAAATTTAAAAGCCATTCGATTCAATTTTGTGCGACGATCGGCCAAGCCGTTTCTTTATAAATCGCAGAAAAGTGAAAAATTTTTCGTCTACGTTTTAGCCCGCAATTCTGAATCGATTTTGAAAATTCAAAAACCGTTCGATAGATATTGGTTGGGAATCGTGCTGATTAGTTTTTGGTAGAGATCGGCCGGGCCGTTTTCTTGTAATAAAGTTTAAAAAAAAAATTTCGACGATTTTTATGTTATTTTTTTTTGACGGTAGATACCATAGTCTTCTAGATCATACTACATACTATAACGGCCCTACGACAACTGTTCAGCTTTAAAAATTCGTCAAAGTTTGCAAAAAAATGGTATCGTTTTTTGGCATTTGTCAAAATTAGACTTTTATTCGACGTTTTCTCAAAAACGCCTGAACCGATTTTAGAATTTAAAAGCCATTTGATGTATTTCGGTGAGGACTATCGTTTGTCAGTTTTGTGCGACGATCTGCCAAGCCGTTTCTTTTGCAATTTGTAAAAAAGTGTTAACTTTTCGTCCATATTTAAGCTCATCCTACCGAATCGATTTTAAAAAATCAAAAACTGTTCGAAAGATATTAGTTGGGAATGGTACTGATTAATTTTAGGTGAAAATCTACCGAGCCGTTTTCTTGTAATTAACTGTTGAAAAAAAGTGTTAAATTTTCGTCCACATTTAAGCTCATCCTACTGAACCGATTTAAAAAAATCAAAAACTGTTCGAAAGATATTTAGTTGAGAATGGTACTGATTAATTTTAGGTGAAAATCTACCGAGCCGTTTTCTTGTAATGAACTGTTGAAAAAAAAATTTAAGCCGATTTTCATGGAACTTTTTATGGCGATATACATCATGGTCTTATAGAACTTACTGTGATATTACGGCATTACGACAAGTAGTTTAATTTTAAAAATTCGTCAAACTTTGCTAAAATTATTACCGTTTTTTTAAAGTAGGATTGATGAAGTATATTATTTACACTTTTTTTTATTTTTTGTATGTCGATAATAGTTCAGATTTTAATTTTGATTCTGGCTAAAGTTCTAAAGCTCACTTATATACTTTAAATAAAATAATTTTAACTTTGTTAATGCAGTCTATATAATTCTATAAATATTAGGGAGGGTACAGTATTTATAATAATCAATTTGAAAAACTTTTTATATTCATGAACATTTTGTTACGGTACGGGAAGTTCCAGCAATTTTTCATGAGGCACGATGCCATACAACCACTTGTTTTTTTTCCTAAAATTTGTCATTCAAGGAAAAGATCGCAAATAGATCCAACGTCTTTCTCTAATTCAAAGGTATTTCATAATAATTTGACCATTGTGAAATATAAAATTTTTGGATTTTTTTTTCCAAAGATTTCATTGTATATAACTTTGATCTAATATTTCAAAAAAAAAAAAAAATTATACAGCAGATGTCGTACAACTTTTTTCAATTTAATTTAGTTTACTTTTAAATTTACTATTTATTATTGTTCACACCCTTGCCAATGTAAAAGTTCAGTTGGTACTTTTCACCCTACCCACGTATTTTAGTATGAATCAATTATTTTTTATTTTTATTCAAATATGAAATCGTTTTAAAAATTCTAAAATCGATAAGTTTAACACCATGTTAATTTACGCTATGTTATTTCTAGCAGTTATTTGTTAAATTGCTATTTAGATACTTATTAGCATTTATTAGAATCTACAATAACTATTTAGTACTAGTAATACTTTTTAGTACTAGTAACATTCTATCTATGATAAAATATCCAAAATATATATTCTATCGTTTGATCAGAAATAAAATATCCTAATAACTGAAAATTGTAATTGAATAACTATTTGCTCATAAAACTAAGTTTCAATTAATTCGCCTCCAGCTACAAACTTAATTCAAAGCGAATAACTATATAAGCATATAGTTTGCATATCTCATCTCGGTGCTTTACATCGTTTGCAGATGGAGAATTCAAATCCAGACGAATTTGTTAGATAGTTTGTTAGATAAAACGTTTGATCCTGGTAAATTATGGCACAGAGGATGGTGTGCTAGAAACATATGTATCAATCGATGGATAATAATGGAGCTGGATAGCTATTATTAGATAATATTTTTGTTGGATAGGCTGGGGCACAAAGGTCCAATTTGATTTTCAATAATTGAAATGTATCAAACACGTATCAAATTATGTTCAGCAAAACATTTTTTTCTAATTATAGAAATGTTTATGTGATTTTTTTGCCTTATAGACTTGGTAGGAAGTTTACCAATGTACAATGTATTATTTTAAATTTCAAAAGAATTTTATGAAATAATAGATATTTTATTCAACCAATGCAAAATAAAAAGTCCATGAGCACATTTTTTACAAAGATTACACCGGGTACAACCTTGAAATATTTTTTAATCCAGATGTAATTATTTTGTCAAAACAAGCAGAAAGTTTTTTGAATCATTCAAATAGGATGCTTAGTTCTCTCAAAAACTGTCATTTTTTGCACATTTAGCTCGGTATATCCGAAACGGCTGGACCTGACTTTGCCAAAATCTAATCACAACTTCTCCCCATCATTACGAATTGAATGTTTTCAGATCATTCAAATCGGATACTACGTTCTCTCAAACACGCGATTTCTACTTTCTGCACTCTTTTCTCCGTATCTCCGAAAAGGCTGGACCTGCCTTCGTCAAGAACTAACATCTCTCTATCAATAGGAATCGAATGTTTTTTGAACCATTCAAATCGGTTGATCCGTGCGCCCGAAAACGTGGACGAAAAATTTTATCTATACATACACACATACACATTCATTTTTTCTGAGGTACGCCAAAATGTTCAGAAAACTTCAAATCATGAAGAAATGTAATGTTTCAATTTCGATTTTTGGACGATTACAATAAACCCTAACTAACTACCCTACGGGAAGTTAATAATAACACATATTTTAAAATAATTAAAGTATTCTTAACATTTATATTCAGATTTCGTAAACTAAGCCAAGAATCTAACTTAGAAAACAAATACTTTTGTTATAAATTTTCAAACGTGACAGTTTATATTTTGCTAGCGAACTTGCTTGATTTGAGTCGATGACTGACTACACATATTTTTCTCTCTACTTTCAAATATTTTTGTTAACAATATCCTAACTTAACTTATTTTTAAGATATTAGTGATGGATCTTTTTACCTACGGACCTTTCAAGCGCACTATACTCTACATACTCAAGAGCTCTGAACAAGAAATTCAGTTAAGAAAAAACTACATGTATATTGAACATATAAAATATGTTATACGACAAATTTTACAATTCCGAAAGAAATAACTATGTAGATTAATTTATTTCGAAATAAATTATGATCAATTTCGTTATTTTCTTGTTTATTTACTAATAATTATAATATTTTTGACGCATAGCAGCTATTCCTTACAACATTTTTAAAAATGGAAT